TGGGGCTGGGCAGCCTCACTGAGCAAGCGCGTGGGAGCAAGCCAGGGGCGCCACCTGTCCCACTCAGTACCTTGGCCAATGCCGTTGCTTTTGAGGTGAGTGTTGGTCACTCTGTTGCTCAGTCTAAACGGTCGCTTTCCGCCAGTCCTGGATGTGGCTGAGCAGCTTGTGTGAGCAGAACCACGGGCTCTGGCCCCCAGGAGAGGCAGGTCTCATCACCAGGTTCACCTGCAGAGGGCTGGTCTTGGACCACAGCCTCGGTCAGAATTGGCTGTAATTAGTGCTTCAGCCAGCTTTGCAAACAGATGCAAAGGCTGCCTCAGCCAGCCCACCTCAATGCTGCCTGAGCTTTGCGTCCAAGAGAGCAGCATTCCCGCCGCAGCCCGTGCTATCAACCAACAAACGAGCACCGTTCTCCTTGAAAGCAGCCTGTGGTCCTGAGAGTGTGGCCTGAACCTGGTGGGTGGCGGGCCGTGTCTTTGAGAACCTTACCGGGCGAGTCTGGGGCGTCAAACTGCTTGCATAGCAGCACTAGGATGTTATTTGCCTTTTTGGTTTTCATTCTCTTGTTAGTACAGTGGAATTTTCCAGAGGTTACATGGTAGGTAATAGCTCGACAGATTGACTGCAGAATCAGATTAAAATACTCCTATTTGCCTAACTACATATTTGTGTGAGGCCTGATTTTCTTTATATATTTCCATCAAAACAACATATTGAGACAGCTCACATGCGGAAGATAGAAAAATCCAGCTGTCTCTTAAGGCAAACTTAAAGAGGTTTGCAAAAAAGTTAAAACCGTTTCTCTTCTTGTTAGATTTTTTTGAAGAAATATTACTACTTTTCATAAAAAGATATTTATGTTAATGTGTAATGAGTTATTATTTATAAATTCATAAATCAATATTAAAGATCTTTCAGTTTTCATTTTTAACATAGGAAATACCAATGGACATCACCCACATAAACAAACGTGAAGGGGTCCTGAGGCCAAAAGGCGAAGCTGCGGCTTCAGAGGGATTTGATGTGCTATCACATCCACATGGTGCTCCAGGCCCCAAACACGTGTGCAGGGGTGTCCCTCGGGGTTCCCACGCATCACAGGAACGCCCGGCCAGAGCTCCCCATCTGACCCTTTTCTGGGTATCTATATACATGCACAACTACTTCAGATTAAGGTCTCTCTTAATGGAGGGAAAAAAGTGCATTTAATCCAGAGTGGGAGGAAGAAGTCAGAGACGTCCTGGGTTTACCTAACAGATGCTTACAGAGTTGCAAAGTGATCAGGTGGTCTCATAGGAGGATGCATTTGCCCTCCAGCTGGACCCACGGAGGCGGCCGGGGGGGGGGGGGGGGCGGGGGGGGCGGGGCGGGGGGGCGGGCAGGAAGCAATGGGAGCCGTGCATGAGGACTTCGGGCTCCAGACAGCGACGTGCTTTTGATCACTGGCTCTGGGATACTGGCCCGTGGAAGCCCCTGCACCAGAAACCCCTGAGTTGCTTATGTATTACAGATTTCCAACTCAGCACCTATGGGGCAGGGGATTTAGAAATCTAAATTTTTTTATGGCTCTTTGGATGATTCTACGATCCAGCCAGGTTTGGAACTGTTTTCTCAAGTTTCCAAAAGCAAGGCACTTGGCACCTGAACAGTTAGGGCCACCTCCTTTCTGTCAAATGCAATCGAAACCTCGGGGGGACGGGGGGGGGGGGGGGGGGGGGGGGGGGGGATGCTGGTAGACCCGCATACAAAATAGGTTCAAATGCCGATGCCAGCAGGTCTGCCGCTCACCTGAGATGGTTCTGCAAGAGCAGAATCGCTTTATTTCCTGCTAAATAGATTTTTGTTTCCCCAGCAGATGCAGGCTAGTGGCCCCTTTCGACACTGTGGACGTGGAAGGAAGAGGCAAAGCCATTTCTGTGTATGTGGACAGAGGTGTCTGAATAAAGGGAGGAAGACAGTGTAAACTGCCTGTCTGTTTGGCTGAAAAGGGATACTTTTTTTTTTCTTTCTCATGCTTAATCACAAATTGAAGCCATTAAGAAGGTGTTAGCCCTTTCAGGGGGGCGGGAAAAAGGTAGGAGATGTTGCTTGCTGAGATTAAACGTCAATTACGCTATGCTTCCCACAGCACCAGAGGCAGAGAAGCCTTTACCATTTGTATTTAATTTAGTTGAATAAAGCAGGAACAATTATTTTTTTACAGTGTGACTGACTCTATTAACCATTCCTCCTCTTGTCATCCTGAATTTTCCCCTGTGCCTGAGCTATGTGATACATAACCGGACACTGCGTTGATATCTTGGTGTGGGAAGTAAGCACGCTTATTTCACGTAGCCCCTCGGACTCTTGGAGCCCACTTGGCACCGCAGGCTAACAAATAGCCTAAGCTTCTCATTTTCTTCCAGAGCTCCATCTGCATTTGTCGGCTGGGAAATGATGTCTCTCTGACTTCATAGTGAACGATGAAGTTACAACTTCTAAAGGGCAAATGACTCAGTGCTGAGTCACTGAGTCATTGGTCCCCCTTGGAAAGGACTCCAGAAGCTCTGACTCTCGGGATGGAATTGAACTCCTTTCTATCTCAGAGCTTGTATCTGTAAAGAAACCACAGAATCTTCTGATTCAGCCTTATTCTGTTCTCACCTGACAGAGGAGACAGTTAAGGCTCAGAAACATTAAATGGTGTGTCTAAATAGTAACGGGGCGGGGGGGGGGGTACAAAAACCAGTTTTAAAAAATGATGTGTCCCATGTTGTAATTACCAGTGTTCTCATGCCTCAATCATGTTTTGCTGAGCTCAGCAGATACTACATGGAAATGAGGATTCTAGCGTCCGCACCAACATAAAGCAAGTTTCATTTTAATGGCAGCTTCCCTGCAGCAACCGGTACCATCATCTTACCATCCCCAGCCTCTGGGGGGACGGGAGGCTCCTCGTGCCAACCACGAGGCTGCTCTCACAGTTTGCAGAGCACAAAGCCCCACTCACACTTGACTTTCAGAATCTATTGATGGATACTGATGGATGAGGCCAGCATGTACCGTCTTTTGCAGACCAGAATTTGACAGAGACTGAAAACTTTTGTCAAGAGAGCCCAGGCCTCCTGTTCTGCCATTTTGGGACACCGGCCAGGTTTCGCTCTGTTACTCAGAGCCCATGTGGGCAACTATTTTAGCGATGGTTCTGCGGGTCTTCTGTGGCCCAGTTTGATTTAGAGTGAAATGCTGCAAAGTCCTTCTTCACTTCTCCAAGCTTCCAGGGATGCTCACGTTTTTTTTTTTTTAAAAAAAAAGATTTATTTATATTTAGAGGGGAAGAGAAGGAGAAGAGGGAGAGAAACACCAATGTGTGGTTGCCGCTTGACCCCCAGCTGGAGACCTGGCCCACAACTGAGATATGTGCCGTCTCAGGGAATCAAACCAGTGACCTTTAGGTGTGCAGGCCTGTGCTCTATCCAAGGGATGCTCACTTTTATGTGATGGGGGATGGAGGCAGCCTTCAAAACCATTGTGTAGACATAAAGCTACATTATTTGGGCTCTCAGATTCAGAAAATAACTCAGAAAGATAGTGCTAGAGGAACCTGATTTCTGCCTAAAGAGATACTTTCCCTGAGGCCACTTGGAATTGAAAGAGAAATTTATGGAAAAAATGCCACTGTGACCTTAAACATGCAGCTCTGGGTTGGCACGTAATGAGGAATGGAGCGCTATTAAAATATACCGCACATTTTAATGACTCCACTGGCAGTAGGCCAAAAAAAAAAAAAAAAAAAAAAAGAGCTCCAAATAATTCTGGGAAGGAGGATTTTGCCAAGGAGATTTTAATGTCAAGAATGTATGGGAGGCTAAAAATAAGAAGCTCATGCACATCCCAGAACTGTGAGTGGGGATGTATATATAATCAAATTAAATTCTTCCATTTCCGCTTATGGAAAAATCCGGTGGTAAAAATTGACTAGCAAACATTTAGTCATATTTCACTTGGATGGTTAGTATAAATACCAAACTCCAGACTTGTCAAAATAAACCCCACCAGTACTTCCTGGCCGGGGCGTTAGGTAGACAGTAGCAGCCAGCAGTATGCAAAAAAAAAAAACAATAATAAAGAGCTTACAGAAATGCCATGTCTGAAAAAGCCACAGGAAATCGGCTTCCCAGCGAAGTGCGGGTTCAGGGAGGTCGAAGGGGAGAGTGGCCCTAAAGAGTGAGGAGTGAGCCCAGAGTGGCCCAGATGTTGAATGCCAAGAGAGGGGCCTTCACACAGCCTCAGGGGCACCTGAGACCCTGTCCCGACTCTCGGGGACTGCAGGTCTGTGGTCTGTGACTTTTTAGCACTGACTCTCTTCCTATCAGAGAAGGAACCCCTCGATCTGGGTCTGGCTCTGAAGGTCCAGCAGCTGTGGGCTCTCCACGAGTTGTTTGTAGATGCAATGGGACTTGTGATTGGCTGCTGCCAGTGCACCCACCTGCAAACCAAGGCCGTCTGCAGAGGCGCTGCGAAGCGCCAATGCCTGGAAGTCAACTTGTTGGCATTTCAAGGGCAGACATCTTCTTGGCTATAACTGCTGAACCTCCAACCCAAATGGGGTGGGGGAATCTAGGCCTTGGTAAATCTTTTATTGTTAAATTATAATGGGAAGACTCATGTGCAACCTGGTTCTGGGCTTGCCCCAGCCTGGACTGTGGGCCAGTGATGTCTCTCTCTGTCCACAGAGTTCTGGTGGTGACCAGTTCTGGTGGAAGGAGGGTTGTGAGTTGGGGAGGGAGGAGGGAATCTTTCTTGGCTGGCATGAGTAGCTAGTGACATTATTTCATCTTGACCAGCACTTGCTGATGCAGGCGACACGCTCATCAGGATGTTTGCTTGTGAATCACCCAGGTGATGAAAGGAACAGGGTGAAGACGCTGGCTTGGGCTCCATGCACGTGCCCAAGGTGGTGATGCGGACCTGGGGGAGCTGATGGGGCCCAGCCTAGCACTACACTGCCCCAGGGTCTAGATGAATTCTGGCTTAGACAGAACCTGCATTTCGTGTCTCTCGACTCTCTCCCGCCATGTCATTCTGGAATCCTGTGATTTCTGCTTCCTGGAGAGAGGACAAAGCAGAGAGGGAAGGTAATTTGACTTAATGAAAAGGGAAGTAGGAACGTTAAGAGAGAACAGTTATGGAGAATATGTTAAGGATCAGACACTGGGCTAAGTACTTTCAGTGTAATACCCTTGACCTTCCTTCCCAACCAATTACATCCCTCCTTCCCTCTGGTCAAACCAGAGCCCAGCAAACAAACATCGCTGGCCCGGAGGTAGGTACTGCTGTTAGCCCCGTTTTACAGGTGAACCAACTGAGGTTTATGGCAGTTCAATACCTTGTCTGAGATCACAAGTAGCTATGGATCTACAATGGCAGGATTTGAACCTCAGCCCCCGGGATCCAACACAGCCTTAAACTATTCTATTGTCCCACCTCCTCTGAATGTCTGCTCCCCCTCCCTGTAGCTTGTGCAGGCAAAGCGCGGGAAACCGACGGAAAGCCTGAGCAGCTGTGGGAGGGGCGACTCTCAGCTCTGCTGCCCAGGCCCCTGTAACCTCAGCACCTCACGTCACCTGGCGCGCCTCCGTTTGTTTTTCTGTGAGATGGCAGTCATCCTCAGTGTCCCGCTCTGCATGGTGGCGCCTCACGTGGAGATACTGTAACCCAAGGAAGGTCTTCCCTGGGGGACATGGCGAGGACAATCGCTGCTGAAGACGGCCTGCTCCCCGACAGAGAGCATGGGCCGTGGCCTGTGCTCGGGCTGTCAAACCAGCGGGACCTTTCTGACCCTCAGGTGTCTCACAGGTCAGCTGCCTGCTGGGGAGGGAGCTCTGGGAGGAGGAAGACACCCATGGGAGTGGCCTGCGCTCCGCTCACCCCTCACCTGCTGGGAAAGCCAGAGTTCCTGCTGAACAGGAAGTAGATGAGAGGGTTGATGGCGCTATTCAGGGCAGGCAGGTTCTGAATGATCACAGCGGCGTAGAAGCGCTCCCTGGTGTCCGGAAGAAAGCCGAAATTGTCCAGCATGTCGAAGAGGAAGTACGGACTCCAGCAGCAGATGAAGGCTGGGGGGTGGGGTGGGGGAGACAGCCATTAGCACCCCAAGAGGCTACCACCCAGGGACGTTCCTCAGAACCTGGGATCTCTCAGAAATATTTAAAACGGTGGTGTGTGTGAACCTTAATGTCATGTTTACTTAAATACACACAGACATTCCCACCCCCTCCCCACAGAGACATTCCTGGAGTTTCTCTATCTGTACAGAGAGGGTCTGATGTGGCCACTGTTCTGGCTCTTTATTGAAATCTTGGGAACTTCTGGCCTTTGTGGAGCACGTCGAGGTATGTGGGCGGCTGTATTTAAGTGTGTGTGTGCGCTGAGGGTGCGGTTCTGGTTCCCCAGGGATGCTGGGTCTCCTGCCCGGAGCAAGGCAGTTCCTCCTTCCTGTTCACACAGTGGGGAGCCTTGGTTATGATTACCCCCGTCTATAACCTAACTGTATAGTACATAGGAACACAAGTATTCTTAATAAATGGAGAATTTTCCCCAGAGGCAATTCCCTTGCCAATGAGGAAAGATTACTTGTTTCATTCAGAACTGTAGCAGGGGTTGCGCACCTGCTCGGAAAATCGAGTCACTGCTTTATTCCTTCGGTCTCCAAGAGAGCGCACCCATACTGCCGCGTGTTTGTGGCCGTCCCTACGTCCTCCTGACTGCCGCACTACCCCTCCCGTGTAGCTGTGCCCAGTTTCTCTATATTGAAATCTGTCTTGTTTTATTATGAATTATTTTCTTTGTATCCCTTTTTTATATGATCATATATATTGATAGTTTAAGAATTGCGTTAGGTCAGTAGCATTAGGTACACATTTGGTTTCAGGATGAGAAAGGGGCACTGTGAGATGTTTGCCCTAGACAGGGCTGTCTCGGTCTAACTGGGTTGCGGACGCCAGCTGGCCCTCTTGTGGACTTCCCTGCTCTCAGACTGAAAGGCCTCCCAGGCCTGGCCATGCGGCTCCTGGTCACCGAGGGCTGTGTTGGCTCCGGAGCGCACGTCCATATAAGATACACTTCCTGACGCCCCATCCGGGGAGTGCGCGTCTGCGTGGAGCATGGTCTGGGAAGGCAAGGGAGACCGAGGTACTCCAGAGGCTTCGGGGACGGGGTCCTGAGCCCCGGTGGGTGGCATGTGCTTCATTGCGGGCCTGCTGCTCTGCTGTTCTGTGTCTGGATCCTGCTGGCGGAGTCACGCCGTGTGTGGTCTGTTTGGCATTTTGCTGTTGTGTTTGAAAAGGTGAGATCGACTGCTCTGGCGATCTGACCTTCCGCTCACACGAGGGCTGTGTGTTCTAAGAGCCCCAAAGGGCTGCAGGAGGGGCTGGGAGGGGTAGTGCCTGAGCTACAAAAGAAGGAAATAGCACAAACCCCCTTCCTTCTTGAGCATCCTCATTTATCTGTTCATTCAACAAATATTAACCAAGCACCCACTGTCAGGGGCAGGGCCCTGTTTGGGGTTCCTGGTGTAAGGAACATGAGGGCAACCATCATTGCTCCCACACCAGCAGGGCAGACGGACAACATGCAGATGAACAGAAGCCTCAGAGTGTCAGGTGGGTGCAGGGATGTGAAGAAAAACAAGGCAGGGGAACGGCTGCAGGAGGGCTATTCATGGCTTGTCAGGAAGGCCCTTCTGAGGAGGTAGCTTTTCGGGGAAACAAGGACATGAGGGACTGAGCTGTGTCACCGTCTGCAGGCAGAGCGTTTCAGGCAGGGAAGCAGGGCAAAGTCCTCCAGGTGAGAACAAGGTGACGTTTTGAAGAAATAGCAAGAAGACCAGGGTGACTGGTAGAGCGGAAGAAAGGAGCGTGGCGGGGATGAGGCTGGATACTGAGCGGAGGGACTGGTCACCCTGCAAGTCACCCCGGCCTTGTAAGACATGGAATAAAGGTTGTGATATATTCTAGCACCATGGGAAGGCACAGGTGGATGTGCAAGACAGCGGCAGTGTCTGGTTTCCATTTTGAACAATTACTTTGACCATTTGGCGGAGAAGGAGCACGAGGAGACCCGCGGCAGAAGCTGGTGGAAGCCGCGGTCAAGGCCGTTACTGTAAAGCTGATAAGGGCCGGACTCGAGATCTGCTCTGTAAGGAGGACCTCCGGCCCTTGCTCACGGACTAGATAGGTGGGGTGTGAAGGAAATACAATAATGGCGGATGGATAACCTTCAGATTTTTGTGTGGGTAAAAGGTAGTGTTTATTGAATTGGGGACACGGGGGTTCAGAAGGATCCACCCCAAGGCGCGCCCCTGTGGTGGCAGATTGTTTCAAGCTAAAAGCAACTTGAGTGGCAGGTTCAGGAGAAACTTCTGCCTTACTCCCCTTGGCCCTGCCCCAGCCACCTGGAAGAATTTGAATTAGAAGCTTTGCCCGTACGCTTTTATCAGAGATAACTTCTTTTGACCTATCTGTAGGGCAGGACAAACCACTATTTACTAAGCATCTGCTTGTCTTATGGTCCTTCAATGAGCCTTTGAAGTCCCCAAGGCCCCTTACCTCATCCCTAGCTCACAGGTTCCCTTTCTGTCTCAGAACCTCTTTGTATATGGGGAGGGGGGGTCCTCTGACTCTCTCCTGTATGTGGGATCCCTTACATATGTATGCATTAAGTTTGGTTATTTTTTCTTGCTAATCTGCTCATATCTATGTGGTTATTATTAGACCAGCCAGAAGAGCCTTGAAAGTAGAGGAGAGTTGGTTCTTCCCCCCCAGGGACAACACAGAAAAGAATCACTCTGCGGGGCGTAGGACAACCTGCCAAGACTCCCGTCCTGCCATGTTGAGCACAAGAAGCTTATTAGAAATACAAACAGAGCCTGAAATAGAAATAATAGATATAATTTCTAAGCAAAGGAAGTGAAGGAGGAGCTAATCAAAAGTTGCTTAGAAGTCAAGTAAGATGCGCATCGATGATTGGCATTTGGTATTTTGGAGGTTGTGGTGACGTTGATGAGGCGGTTTTACTGGAGTACGAGGAACGAGGAACGGAAGCTAACAGGAACAGGCTCGGGGAACGCGCGGCAGGAAGAGGAGAACTGGTGCAAGAAAAGGGCGCGGCGCGGCCGGCCTGTTCCTGCAGAAGTCCTCCGGGGGAGGAGGGGCACTGCCATTCCTCTACCGCGCAGGACCCAGCCGGGGGAAAGCTGTGCAGGGAGGAGGTCCCTGGAGGAACAAAGTTCTCCACTCGGCAGGCAGGGATGGGATTGGGGCGCAGGGGCACATTTGGGAGGCAGAGAGAAGCAGTGCTGGTTTACCCCCGTCAGAGGGGAAAGGACAGAGCCCGCGGCAGAGACAAGTTCCGTCCCGTCGGCGACCGTGAGAGCAGGAGGAGAATGAGGCCGTTCGATTCTGCTTAGCTGCGTTTTCTTAGTGAGATAAGAATCAAGGTCATTAGCTGAGAGCGCCTCAGGAAGAGGAGGAAGTGTGGAAGGTTTGAGGGTAACAAAGAACACACCAATCTAACACCGATCAGGTGCTCCAGAAATACCCCCCCCCCCTTTTTTTTTTCCTGAGCTAAGGTAACTGTTTGGGTCATAACATTAGAGAGAAAGGAAAAGAAAAGGGAGGGAGAGAGAAGATTAAGGAGGAGTTTACAGTGACCTTGAAATGAATCATCCAAGAGAAACGAAATGCCCTTCCCGTCTTCCTTTTGCCCATCAACCTCAGGAGAGAGTGTGTGTTAAAGAAAGCAGCTGAGTCGCCTGGGTGATGGCGAGCATCAGCTTCAGCGGGTGATCAGAATTGCTCCAAATTCTGTACCCCAGGGCCTTGGTGGACAGCTGCGTTAATGAAGGGAGAGGTTAGGAAGCAAATGTCATCCTGTGAAGGAGGCACAGGTAGACTGGTAAGTTCCACACATCCCTGTCCTGTCAGACAGGTGGAAGCGTCCACAGACAAATCCCTTTCTCCTGGGGGCTCTCCGCCACCAGGCCCCAGGGACAAGTCTGCTTCCGGAATGTTCACGCAGTGCCGCCACACAAGGAGGGGCGTTGCTCACCAAGAACGATGACCATGCTGTACTTGATGGCCCTGACTTTTGCCTTGGAGATGAGTCCTCGGTTGTAACTGGTGCACAGCTTCCCATCTGTAGGTACAGAAAGGGGGATGGCAGAGTGAAGTGCTGTTTCTGCCAATGGGAACATGACAAGTTAGTCCCGCAGCTGTCACGGGGCCACTTAGCTCCTCTCCCCCATGCCCAGGGGGACCTCCTTGGACATTTTCAGAGCAACAATGGCTCTGGGATGGATGTTGAAAACCACTCAGTGTGCAGCTTCATATAAAATGCATACAAATGTATTGGGGCATCCAGACTCTTTCAAGAGGCTTGGCTGGATGCCCTGAGTCGGCTGAGGCTGCAATTCGCCGTGTGACCACCCACCTGGTCGCTTCAGTAACCCGGAACAAAGCCGTTTTCTAGAATGGTCGTCTTAGACTAAGTCATTCACCTAACTCAGAAACTCCACTCTTGGCGAAAGCTCAAACCAGGGGTATTAAAAAACAAAACCAAAAATATCACAGAGCATCCATATAAGAATCCAATAGGAATAGCAGCATGATGGAGACAGAAACTTTGCTTTATTCACTCCTATATTCTCTGAACTTAGTGCGTGATTAATATTTGTCGAATGAGTTCATACAAACCTCTCTCTCTCGGTGAGGAGTGGAAAAGGTGGACGAGGATGGGTAGAGATCATTGCAACAGCTCTTAGTAAAAGGGGTAGAGAGCTGGCAAACTTGGGGATGGAGATGTTGGGTGTGAGGGCCCCCGATGTTGTGCAGGAGTTCTTACCCTCAGGGCTTCTGCCTGTCAGCCCACGGGGCACCTTTGTGAAAACTGGGGGAAGCGCCCTCCCTCGGCGCACGCGCGGCCCTGGCCAGAGCGCCCAGAACGAGGCAGCGTGGACAGGGGCTGGCCCGCGCACGTTGGCGGGCTGTGCTGGTGAGCCTCGGGTGCAGAGGTTTCCCCTAGAGGCCGACTCCTGTGTTCACAGGTCCTCACTACATTGTTCAGATTTCACGATTAAAACGCATTTCAATCCCCTTGGGAACCTGTACATTAACCTTTGACTGTTTATTCTGCCTGCTCTCCAATTCAATCCCGCCCAATCCAACAAGCCCAGCACATCTGCTAAGAGATAAGAACCGAACAAAATAGGCTAAAAGACAGAGTTCCTGTTCTCCAGGAACTTTCAATCCAGCGTGAAAGATCACATCGCCCCACAAAGCTGGACGGTGCGAGAGAGACCAAAGCCAAGTATGGACAGAGATGAGAGGCATCCTTGCACTGCTATCAGGAATAATAGGAACAAGAAGCTTTTTCAGGTGCCATGAGCTGAAATGCTAATTATAATTCATTTTTTATTTTTTAATGCGTACCCTGTAAGACCACTCTTAGATCGTCAAATTACTCTGTGCATCTCATAAAGCTGTGAAACTTCCCTGGCAGAAGCTTCAGAAGCATTCACAGCAGTGGTTCTCACCTGGGGGCAACATAGCGGCCGCCGTCCCCGGTTATTTTCACAACGTCCGGACATATCTTTGGTCGTTGCAGTTGCGGGGAGGTAACTACTAGCATCCAGCAGGTAGAAGCCAGGGATGTTGCTCAACATCCTTTAATGCACAGGACAGCTCCCCCACCCACAACACACATACACACAGAGCAGTATCCAGTCCAAAACACTGACAGAGCCAAGGTTGAAAACCCCTGCTGGCTCAGGTGGTGTCTTGGGAAAGATGTTCAGAGCGCGACCTGAACGCGTTCCCAGCTATACCAGTTACTGACTGTGTGACTGCAGGCAAATTGCCTACTGTTCCCAGCCTCAGTTCCCCACTTTTAAAAATGAGGTGTGAAACCCCCAATCTGCAGTTATTTTGAGGATTAATATAAACTAATGTAGTCGATATGTCAAGCCCCGTGCTGAGCACGTCAATTCCCTCGTTAGTTGGGATGAATGAGGTTTTAGCAGTATTTCAGGAATATGAGCTTCCTTTATGGAAGTGAACAGAAGGTATTACTATATTTAGACAGGTTATGATACAATGTTGTTATCTGTGTATAGAAATTATATTACATCCAAAAATTATCAGAGGGGATTAGACCCACTTTTTTTACAGGAGACAGTAAAAAAAAAAAAAAAAAAAAAAAGTAACAGCAGGCCGAATTGTATCTTTTCAAAGGATCCCCATTGCTGGAGTGTCAGCTGACTCCTAAACTGTATGGCTCTGAAGACCTGGTTTTTCAGAAAAGTTCTCCAGAATGACATTTGCGCTCTGAATGCTGCTTAAAATGGAAACTTTCAGTCCTTCTCACAGGGCAGCTGGGCGACAATGAAATCAACTCCCTGCCCTTCCGCCTCCCAAAGAGATCAGCGGAAAGCATCTTCACCGTGACCTTCGGCTCCCAAAGATGCTTCTTCAGAGACAGCACAGCTACAAAATGCCGGTAATTCTCCTTTATTGGGAGATAAAAGGATTAATTCCACGCAGGCCCTGCCGCAGAGCTGGAGTGAAAAGCAGCTAAATTCAGCTGTCATTGTGCATTAATAGCGGGGGAGCCTGGAGGCAGCAGGTCCATTAGATTCAGCAAACTGCCTTAGGCTGTTTTAGTCCAAGTAAGAGTCCCTAGGGAGCCGCTGGAAATTAGTCTCCAAGTGGCTGGTGCCTGCACCGCACCCTCCCCACTCTTCTTGGAGCTCCTGGGAATCTATTTTTCTGGGCCGAACTCCAGAAGTGGGGGCCGGCGGGGAACAGCCGTTACCTGGGATTTTAAAACGAGGCTGAATTTATTCCTGAACCATCCATCTGTGGACTATAATGAGTGCAGGTGACTTGTTTGTTAACAGGGAAGGCTACCTAGTAATATTTTAGAATAAATATTTTTCATACTTCAGGAACTTTATGGACTTCAGGATGATTCAAAAAATTAAACATTCTTAGAAGGTATGTCTGATTTCTAAAATTTTTAAAGCTTGAAATTCGTTTTCGATTTCTGATCATTGATGGCTTCTTTATCTATAAATATAACCTGCATGTTACATATTTTTAGCACATCGTATCCCATTTGCTTAACTGTAGAATTTTGGCTAATTTGCTTACCTAGGGTTTTTTTGTTGTTGTTTTTTTTTTTTTACCTTCTGGCAAACCGGAGTTCACAGCTAGCTATGAGGAGGTATCCCCTAACTCACAACATTTTCTATTCCTCAGCCCCGCAGCTCAGGCAGAACTGGGACCCCTGAGAAGCCTAAAATCATTGTGGCAGAAACAGGTTAGCTTTCATCAAAGCTTTTCCTTTTCCCTTGGGGCACGCAGCTAGACTACGTTTCCCAGCCTCCCTTTCAGCAGGGTCTGTAGTCACATGACTAAGATCTGCCTATGGGAACCTGGGGAGAACCCTTGTGCACCAGACCCAGGCCTGGCTCAGACAAACCAGCTGGGCAATTCTCCACTCTGTTTTCTCCCCACCCTGCCGGCAGGATGTTCATACTAAGGGACACCGTAGTGGCCATCTGTTCTGGGTGGCAGAATCTTCTTCGGCTTGCGTTTCTGAAAAACTGTGCAATAATGCCCTTCCCTTTGACCTTTACTGGCAATTGGATTTTGACAGAGCAAAAAGCAAACTTCTGTGAAGGCTACTGTATTTTGGGGTTCCTCTGTTTTAGCTGCTAGTGTTTCCTTAACAGAAGCAGTAATTAGTACCTCATGTGAAGTGTGTCATTGTCAAAAGCTAACACATGTGGCCTTGGTCTATCTAGTGAGCAGGCAGCCGGTGGCCAGAGACCTGATCTTGGAAGCTCGGACACCAGAAATCCATTTGGTAGGAGTGTCCCACATGATGCCAGGGAAGGCAGGTTTGTGTCTCCTGAGCCAAAAACCCAAAGGACAAGGCTGATGTAGTAGTCGGCGCCCCCCAGAGAAACAAAACCAACAGGAAATACATTTGGAGATATAAATATGTAATGACAACGAAGCTGGCCCTGGTCCCAGATCAAGCTAGAACATTGTGGGGTTGTAACCAGCAAAGACCCATTATAAATCGTTCCTGAGACGAAGATCAGACCGAAGATGGAGCCTCTCGCCTGTTTCGGATGGCCTCAAGCAATCAGAAAGGGCTAGGGTGAAGAAGCAAAGAACAAGGCAGGCCTGAGAGGTGTATCGATGAAGACTTTGGATATGGTCGCTGACACATGAAGCTGCGTGGAAGCGAATAGATCAGAAGTCTACAAAACTTTTGAGAAATAATGTTGCCAAATAAACCATGAGCTTTGTATCTTTGTCAGCATTTATAAATATCAGACTTCAAAATTTTTATTAAGCCTGTGGGTAGAAAATTGTATCTAACTGAGATTTAAATGAGTTCTTTTCTGATCGTTGATGAGGTTGAGAATCTTATTTTTGGCCATTACGCTTTTCCCTTCTGTAAAATGCCTGTGTCTGGCTCATTTAGCCTTTTAGCTGTGTCTAGCTATTTAGCTTTACATTTTTTTCTTTATTGAATTTTAGGGTTTCTAAAAAATTCTGAATAATAATTTTTCCCAGCTCATATCTTGCACAAATTTCTCCCACTTTGTGGCTTGACTTTTTAAATATTAACAGAGTCAAATTTATCCATCATTTATTTTATGGCTTAATGTATCTTCTATGTTGTTTAAGAAATTCTTCCTTACTCTAATATCATAAAGATATCACTTCTTTTTTCACAAGTTTTAAAAATCACATATCTCACAGTTAAGTTTTGAATTCACCTGGAATTTGTTTTGCCTATGAACTGAGGGGAAGTCGGATTGCATTTTGTTCCCTATGATCTTCTGACATCTACCGAGTTCTCATATATGGGTAGGTCTGCTTTGGGGCTGTTTTATTTTTTGTCTACTGTATTGTGTCAATACCGCATCTTATTAACCACTCTGGCTTTATGATAAATCTTAATATTTAGTACAAAACCTCTCCTGTCTAGTTCTACTTCACTAGGAGTGCCCTAGCTATTCTTGGTTCTTGAAATTTCCATGTATCTTTCAAAATTGACTTGTCAAGCTCAATAAAATGTCCCATTTCAATTTTGATTGGAACTGTAGATTAGTTGGGGAACTGACATGTTTATGCTTTTGAGTCTTACTATCCATGAACATGTTATAAGATTCATTTATTTATGTCTTTCCATGAAGTTTTTTTATGTCTTTCGCTAAATGTAGTTGTCTGCCGAGAAGCCATTTTACCCACGTGCACGGAGGAAGCAAGATGCTCAGGGCAGTTCATGGGTTTAACATTTTTTTTTCAATTTTCAATTTTCTTTTGTTTTTAGAGAGAGGAGAAGGGAGAAGGAAAGAGAGGGAGGGGAACATGGATGTGAGAGAGACACATTGATTGGCTGCCTTCTGTATGTGCCCTGACTAGGGACTGAACTCGTAACCTGGGCATGCGCCCTGACCGGGAATCAAACTGGTGACCCTTTGCTTTGCGCAACAGCGCCCAACCCACTGAGCCACTGCGGCCGGGGCAATGGGCATAATCTTAAGCTCATTTCGCTAGAAGTCAACAGGACCCAAACCCAGTTCCCAATCCAAAGCTCTTTTCTCCACCTCATTCTGCTTCATTTAACACAGAATTTGGATATGGCAAGAATCACATAATGTCTTCCAAGTCATAATGTCCAGGTGCGGTTATATCCAGATGTTATACTTTGTCTTTCCCATGGGTGTGGCTCCCCCTTTCTCCTTCCTCTTTCCATGTGCGAAATCTCTTACTGCACAGGAGTAGGTGGGTACCGTGGGTGCCCAGAGCGTGCCTGCCGGCTCATGAGAGACAGCAACGTGCAAATTTGGACACCTTGTCCTCCCTACTTTGTGCCCTCCACGCTTACTTGTGGGAAAGCCTTCTGATCGTTTATTAGTTATTTTTTCCTTCTGCCAGCCTTTCAGAGGGAGAAGCTAGACATATTTGCCAATGAGAAGAGTGGTTGTCAAACTAATGATGACTTGAATTTTGCAGCCCGTGTTTACAAAGCGAGCTTCTGTTCACACTAATTATGGCTGATGTCCCTGGTGCTGGGCCATCATCCTGGCGCGCCTCCGCCACGGGGGAGCCCGTCCGCCAGCCAGCTCCCGCGCTGCTTGGCTGTGATGGCAGATAGGAAAGGAAGTGAGTTCCATTTGTGAGTAAGATCCAGAGGGCTCCTCAGCCTGCCATCTGCGCCGCACCCCAGAAGGGGGGTTGCTGATGGTGACATAAAGATACAGATAACAGAAAAGTAGGTATAATGGAGACATAAATTTGTGTTAAAGAATGAAAACGACTGTCTCCGGGAAGGGGGGTGGCATCCTGGGTGTCAGTGGGAAAACTTGCCTCCATGTGGCTTTGCACTATTTCAGATGCTGAAGCATGAGGGACTCAACAGTACGAGGGCTGAAAAATCTAGTGGCAGGGGTATGGGGCCCCACCACAGTGATGAAATGTCTGCTGAGAACGGGGCCAGGGCAGTGGGAGGCACCTTGGATGGTGGGGTAGCAGATAAGAGGTGGAAACGTTTTGATACCTCACACCTCCAGCAACATTTGTTCTATTCACTCTTGTGGGTGACGGGCTCAAGAAAAATGCGGTGGGTCCCACTGTGGCCCTTTGGACCAGGAGCAGAGGGATCAGAGAGCCCTCGGTGAGACAGTGAAGGTGAGAGCTCAGAGCGACAGGCAGGGCAGGACACACCATCCCCCGGGACCTGGCACAGCACAGGGATGTAAGCCAACCTGATTCAAATCTGAAAGAGCAGGGAGACCTCAGCCTGCCTAAAGAACATCAGGCCCCGCACCTGTCTTTATCTGACATCAGAGAGAGGAAGAACATGCTCACCCACCTTTACTTTTTTAGACAAATATTCTCACTTTTGGCCAGATCCACTCACAATGAATAAACCAAGTGCACTTGTATTTATCCTCTCTGATTGTTTTTGCTCTTCTAGAAAAAAACCAGGGTGTGCAGATCAGACCAGCAGGGGGGAAGCACAAGGACCTGTCCCAGCTGAATGATGGGTTCTTTCCAGCCCGGCCATTTCCCAGCAGCCCCTGCACACCTCTGGGTCACTTCCGCCACTCAGGGTGAAAGCCAGTGTCCGGTGACTGTTTCCTGCTGGACCAGGGGTTGTCAAACTTGGTTGTGCAATAAGATCATCTTAAGAGCTTTTCCGAAGTAAGGGTGCCCAGACCACGCTCCACATGGCGCGAACCAGAACCTCTCTGGGCAGTGGGGTCTGGATATCGGCGCCTTGGAAAAGCTGTCCCATGATGTTCTCATGCAGCCGGGGCTGAGGCCCGGGGCAGAGGCAGAGGCTTCCTGGGGCAGGAGCCATGCTGTTGGCACAGTGGCATCCCTGGTCCGTGGAACCACTCCCCACACGTGGGGCGACACCGCAGAACTGAACCGAATTCACAGGAAGACACCAGGGCTCATCCTCCCGGGAAAATGGACCCAGGTTATTCGTGCCCAGTACTACGTGCGAGTCACCTTGACCTTCTCCCAGCCCCACTGGAAGATGTAGCTTCGAGAGGGAGGAAAACAAGCTTGGTTTGGGTCCAGGAGAAGAATCAGCTCAGAGTCTGACAAGAGGAGGACTCAGAGGGAATCGAGGCTGTCCTATCCTTTTACCTCCGGGAGCCCAGAGAGGTTCAGCGACATGACAAAGTGGCCCAGCTCTGTGTGGCACACACAGAAGAGGAACCAGCTCTTTGTGTTCCCAGTGGCTGGGTCCCACCCTGCTGCTCTGCGTGGGTGCGTGTGGGGGCAGGTGCCCACGAACATGCCTATGAGCATGTGAGTGTGTGTGTGAGGCTGGGTGTGCGGATGTGTGCGTTGGTGTGCGTGGGCCTGTGCCGTGTGTGCACAAGGAACGGGGAAGGCACGCAGCCTGAGCAGGGCTGGTCTCCTCTGGCATTTGGTTTGCTGTGTCCCCTCCAGGGTGACCTCAGTCAGGCCCAGCAGCACCTGTCTGGGAAGCAGGGGAGACCTCTAGGTGCTGGTGCATGCCATGCAGCTGTTTGGGGTTTGGTTTTACTGAAATGGACTTGGGAACGGCTTAGGGGCCATCTCAGGCTCGGTCTGGTGGCAGCTCGTCTGAGAGGCTGGGGGAAGCACGGACTGTGCTCAGCTGGCTTGGGGCCCCGGGGACTGTCCTGTGGGCTGATGGCAGCTTTCTCTGTCTGTGAACACAGCCCAGTAGAAATGTCTCCTCTGGTGTTTTGGTGAATGAATGGTGTTTTCTTGGACTGTCCTCTCTTCATCCCAGCGTCCTCCTCAGGCCCAGGCCTGAAAGACCGAGGTGACCCTGGATTCTGGCTCAAAGGCTGCTGAGCAGGACCCTGTGCTCGCACAGCCTGGCCAGGATCGAAGTGCCCCTTGCTCCCCGCAGTTCCCAGGGCGGCCCGTCGGGGAAGGCAGGGCTGCCTGGGGTAGCCGTCGGGGGTCCCGCCTGCCCCCGGGGTCCTGATGTACCAGTGCAGGCTGGTTATATTGAGAACCCAAGCTCACATTTGCTGGCGGAAAATCTCTGCAGAGGCAAAGTTAGCCAAGAGTTGGTTATTCAGATGAGACACTTACCTGAGCAGTTGGAAATCACCATCTCATGGGCCTTGCTTTTAGTCCAAATGGTTCGGATCACAATGGCGTAGATGACGCTGTGGAAAGGAGCAAAGGTAACATCATGAAAGTGGCTGGTGGGTCCCCACTGGGAGGACACAGAGAGAGGACCACTCTCTCTTCCTGAGCGTGAGGTAGGGAAGAGGGGTCGCTCTGTATTTGCTGATTATGGAATCACAGCAGGAGGAGACTGAAAGCCACCCCAAAGGTCAGTTGGATGTGGCTCCTTCCTTTTTAAATGAGGAGGCTAAGACTGGTGGCATTAAATTTCTCTACAATCACCCCAGTGGTTAGAGGTGGGGCTGAGATTAGAACCCAAACACAGGGTCGAGGGCCAGAAAGATTTAGATGTGTAACTGGCTCTCCTACTTCCTGGCTGTTTGGCCTTGAGTTTAGACGTCCTGATGGTGGCCCCATAACTTTGCCTCTGGCGCACAGTCCTGTGCATGGCTCTCCCTCGCTGAGTGTGACGGGGCCCGTGACTTGCATCCAGCGGATGCATTGGGATGAAGACGGTTGCATGTCCGTGGTTACATGAGTGTAGCATCTGCTTTGCTAGTGTCTGTCTCCATCGCTGGCTTTGAAGAATCAGCCAATTTCCTGGGGCTGCAGGATCATAGGTCTTACAGCCTCAGGAGATTGATTCTGCCAAGAGCCCAGGAGAGACGGGGCAAAGATCCTTCTCCAGCTGAGCCTCCGATGAGCACCCCAGGCCCGGCTGACACCTTGATTGTCACCTTGCCTGAGCAGATGCAAGGCTCCTGACCCACAAGTACTGTGAGGTGATAAAGTATGTTGTTTTAAGATACCAGGTTCACGATCATTTTTTATCAAGTAATAGATGACAAATACACTGAGTAACAGAGGCTGAATGCATGTGTCTCTCCAAAGCCCGTGTTGGAACCCTAAGGCCCAACGTGATGGTATTTGGAGGCGGGTCTTTGTGAGATGCTCAGGCCATGAGAGTGGGGCCCTTGTAAAAGGGGTTAGCGCCCTTAATGAAAGGGGCCCCGGGGAGCGCTCTCCGCGCTGTGAGGGCACAGTGGGGAGCCCGCAGCCTGGGAGAGAGCCCTCGCCGGCCCTGCGGGCGCCCTGGTCTCAGACTCCCAGCCTCCAGGACTGTGAGAAACACGTTTCTGTTGTTCAAAATCTGTGGTGTGTTGTTGCAGCGGCCCAGATGAACAAAGACAGCGGGCCCCAGGGGAAAGGGTAAAACGGAATTTAAAACACAAACCTCTTGAGAGTTTTTAGGGGTTAAATGCGGCATCATTTAAAGTGCTAAACACAGTGCTTAAAAATTAGCAGAGACCCAATAAGTGTCATTTTCTGTCCCTCTTTCTTCCCCATTTTTCATCTAACATCACACGTACTCTTGTGGGATATAATTTGCCTAACAGGAAATCAATGCGTTAATGACTCAAAAGCCTCAGCAAATTTTGTATCCTGTGTTGCCTTTGATAAATATAAAAATCAACACCCTTCTTTCATGTTATTTGACGTTTCAAATACATTAAGTATCTTGACTACAAACTTGGGGAGAAGGCACTGCTTTATTTTATTTTTTAAAGATTTTATTTATTTACTTATGTTTTAGAGGGAGGGGAAAGGAGGGAGAAAGAGAGAGAGAGAGACATCGATTGGTCGCTCTCATACATGCCCCGACTGAGGACAAAACCTGCAACCCAGGCCTGTGCCCTCACCAGGAATCGAACCACAGACCTTTTGCTTTGCCGGATGAGACCCAACCGAGCCACGCTGGTCAGGGCAGCACCGTTTTATTTTAGAACCATGCCAACTTCCCTCCTGAGAGTCACTGGTTAAAAATTAAGTAAATAAATAAATCTGAGCTCCAGTTTGCAGCAGCTGAAAAAGCACTGATTGCTTTTAGTGATCTTCAGAATATAACTTAATTAATGACTGTGTTAAAACGCTCTGCTTCATACTGTTTCTCCTGTCTTGTTCAGCTAACTCCTCTGAGCACTCCAGTGAAGCTTGAGGCCTTTTTGGGAACGCCCTCCCGCCTTCTTTTCTTGTATCTGTCCAGGGATTTTTCTGGAATTTGCCTGTCTACATTAAAGAAAAATATGAGAAAAAAAATTGCTAGTGAGTCTATTCTCTTTGAGTATTTGTTAGAGGTGGGAAACTTTTCTGCAGGTAAATGAAATACAAGGCAAGGTTACAGCCACCATAAAGTGCTGTGTATTATTACCATTGCAGGCCCAGTACTTCACTGATCAATAACTCAAGTATTTATTGACCATCGACAACCATGAGGGACATTAAGAACAATCTTCTGTGTTGGGGGTTTGGACCTAAGTCACCCCCACCTCATCTTTAAAGGACCAGGCAAGTAGAAAGCTAGTACCGGCTTTATTTTTAGCCCATAAAATGCCTAATAAGTAGGGTGCCCCTTTAATTTATTACCCGCATCAGGCCACTTCTCAGAGTGAAGAATCACCTATCAGAGAGATCTCTGAATTATATCTGTCTCCTCTTTCTTCCTCATTTCTTTCTTCTAATTAATCAGCGAGTTCTGTGCATTGTCCCTTGAAAATGTCTCTATTATCCATCCCTTCCTCCCCATTCCTGTTCTCTAGGACCCTTACAATCTCTTTTTATGTATGTTGATGAGCTTTTATTGTGAGAAGATAAACATAACATGAAACTGACCATTTTAACCATTTTAAGTGTACAGTTCAGTGGCACTAAGCACATTCGTGTTGTTGTACAACTGTCACCGCCAGCCATTTCCAGAGTGTTTTAGTCATTCCGCGCGGAAACGCTGTCTCCATTAAACATGAACACGGGGGAAGCGTCATGAGTGTATGTGTTATTCTTACCCGGAGGCCGTACCGACCTCGGTATCATTCCACTGTGAGTACGCTTGCTGCCAAAGTGAGCACCCTTGTAACCTCTCACCCAATTACTGCCTTAATCTTCTGAGACCCCTGCTTTGCTACGCTCTGGAGTGCCCACACCGACTCAGAGCTGATGCGCCAGGCGGAGGGCCGGCTGTGCCCTGGCTTCAGAGCCCGCCGGTGCCTCCGCTTCCCTACAAGGTAACACCCAGCCTCTTCTGCAGGGCACCCACCACCTCCTCCAGTCTTCCTCACTCACTTTGCTCATTAGCATCCTTTCTGTAATCAAAAGCTATGCACACAATATATAATATGTCAATATATCTTATATAATACACTGTGTGTGATTACAAAGGAGCAAATACCATGAAGTACAATGGAGGGTGATATGCAGGTATATAATAGGGGCCCAGACTTGTTCTGAGGGGGCAGGGATACCTGTCCAGAGCAGGGGAGCTCTCAGCTAAGATTTGACGGATAAACTGGTGTTTCAGATGTGGAGGGAGGTGAGCATCCCAGCAGAGGGAACAGCATGTGCAAAGGCTCAGAGGCAGGAGAGAGTGTGGTCCCTGGGAAGACCTTCGAGAAAGCCAGCGTGGCTGAGGCCTGTGTGCAAGTGGTTAGTGTGACCTGAGGTGAGGGTGGCCTTGTGCACAGGGTTAGAGGTTTCGAACTTTATTCTGAAAAAACGGAAATTTACTGATGGGCGTTAATCAGGAAGGTGAAATGATTGATCAACATTGCTTTCAAAGATCAGGCATTTTTTATTATGGATGCGTTGTTTCTATGTAGATGTAGATGCCGGTATCTGAACTGAACAGTCCTGGAAACTTATTCAAAACACTCCTAACAGCACTGCCTCTGAGGAGTGGGACGGGGGGGAGTGGGAGGAATATTTTTATTTCTCATTTCATACTCTTTTGTATGCTTAGCAGTTTTCCAAACAAAATGTGGCTCTGACTGTCACATAGGACAGAAACTTAAAGGGGTAAGAGTAGCTAGGAAGCTATTGCACTAGACAGAATGAAAGATGGTAATAACCCTTGGACGCAATCGTCCTTGAATTTTATTCCATCTGTTAGTGAAATCACTATGGTTGTGCGGTCTAATGATCGAGAGGGCAGAATATGCTCCGAAAGCACCCGAAGCCACGTGATGCAGGAATGCTAAGGTGGGAACAGAGTCCTGTGCCTCGCCTCTCGCCCTTAGTGCCCACATAGGGGATGGTCAGGGGGCGGCAGCCGGCGTGGAGCCCGGCTCTGGGCCAGTCCCTCTGTAAAGCACCTGACACCTTGTCTCATTAACTCCTTTGGTTAACACAGTGCTAGGCCCTGGATGGTAAATGCTTTCTACATATTGGTTATGGTTTTCATTCCCTGCAGATTCTTGTTCTATGATTTCATATGTGATCAAGGAGAAGGAGAGTTTATTGTCCCCATTGTATGGACAATACATGAAGTCCCATGAGCAGGACATGTTAGAGACCAGAGTCAAATCAAGGCCTGCTGGCCACCAAAGCTCTCATGTGATGTTATGATGACAATGGCAGTGATTTGCTCACCACGATGGTCAATCAATCATCGTGCCAACCCCTTCATGGAAATTCTTTCATTTATTCTTTCCAGCAACTTTATATGGCCGGTGCTAGTATTATTCCCACCTTCTAGAGGGGAAGACTTCGGTTTTGAGAGCTTCTGTGACTTGTCTGAATTCACGCCACTGGAGGATGGCGGAGCAGGGCCATAGTCTGGGCTGCTGGCTGCAAAGTCTTATTCACCAGCATGTGATGCTGCCTCTCTGCAGGGAAGTTGTACAGACCCCTTTGTGGGTTGTATTTGGGCTCCATGTGCTAGTACATCTATGGCTCTAGTTATTCCCTTAATGTTTTCTTTGATCTCTAGACCAGATTAGCACCCCCTGCTGGGGTCCCATGGGACTCTCTCTGTGCGCTGCCATCATACTCATCACTCTATGTCGTAGCTTCTTTCTTGTTTGGCTGCCTCTTGCGTTACACAGGAAGGATCCTGAACTCAGACACAATGTATGTCTGGTCATTTCTGTAGCCCCCTTCCCTGGCCCCATGTCTGGCAGAGGGCAAGTGCCCTACAGGTATTTCTAGAAATAATGAGTGAATGGGAAGAGGCATTAAAGTAACAGGGTATAAGAAGTTACTTCTTCAC